TTGCTTCCTTCAGACGGTCCAATTGTTGACAGTACAGGTCCGAATTATCACTATACATTTTAAATCATTTAAAAAATATCTCTGCTAAGAGTTTGGCCGTAGGGAGCAGCTCATAGTAGATAATTCCCTGCTAATCCCACCAAATACACAGCAAAATCTTCCTGACCGTCAACCCTAGCTTGGCCACCGTTTGCACCGGCTCATCGCGATTCGACCACGATCGTTTTCGCTTGACGTTGTCGTAATTGACCCACTTTTCATCACCAGTAACCATCCGCTTCAGAAATGGATCGATTTTGTTGCGATTCAGCAGCGATTTGCAGATGGAAATTCGATCCATGAGGTTTTTTTGCGTTAACTCGTGTGGCACCCACACATCGAGCTTCTTTTTGAATCCAGCCTCATTTAAATGGTTCCAAACGGTTTTTTGTACAATGTTTAGCTACTTGGCAATCGAAACGGTGTTTACATGACGGTCGGACTCGACGATTTCCATTATTTTATCAACATTTTCGACAATTGGCCTCCCGGAGCGTGGCGCATCTTTGACATTAAAATTACCGGAACTGAATCGACGAAACCAAAATTGCGCGTGATTGGCTCTTACAGTATCAGGACCATAAACACTATTCACATTTTTAGCCGCCTGTCTTGCGTTTTCTCCTTTATCGAAGAAAAACTGTAAAATATGGCGTATTTTCTCTTTGCTGGTGTCCATCTTTGACGCGCGCTCAAACAATACTGAGTCAAGTAATCACAAAATTGTCTGAAAGGTTTTTTTAGTACGAAATCTTATCTTTCTAACGCCATCTGGCGTAATCCGATCGGACTTATACAACGCGAGATACAGATTAGTAAAGCCCTCTATTGGAAAAATAATGGATTACTTTTTACTAGACCTAATACATTTCTCCAATACGAAGAAGTCCGAAAATGGGTGGATGAATGGCTTACTTCAGAAGACAACTCGTTTTATCGTCGTGGAAATCCAACTTTTGCTAGAAAGATGGGAGAAAGTAATAAAAAATGATGGAAAATATTTTAATTAATGTATTAATGCATTTTCTTATTGAAATAAATGCGTTTTTCAGGCAAAAACGGCGAAAACTGAATTTAATATTTAATAAACTGGTCGTTTAATTAGTCCTTAGAACAATATGAAAATACAATTTTTTTGGGAGAAAAATAATTTAAATTTTTTAGCATAATCTTCCTCAAGTTTAATGCTTGAAACTTGGTCATCAATGCTCAAATTTTTTTATTCTTTCCATAAAATATAATTAATTTTCTTCCTTAAATAAGCCGTTTACAGCATGAATTATTTTAGTATTCGAGCGAAATCTCTTTATACTTTACCATGTTTTCAAATCTGAAAATAAAATATTTCACAGGGACCTTAATCTGGAAAATATGATAGATGATCGTCTAATTTAAAACGTAATTCATGCAATCTTGCTATTGGAATTGCAGACGTTTGAGTTGATGTTTCGTCCTAATGAAAGATCACTTTTTTGCTATCTGAGGACGTTTTTCCTTGATCGCATAAAGTTGGTCCAATAATGACTTTTTTTTGATACCTAGGAATTGATTCAGTCAAAAAAGACCGTTTTACAATATTATATAATATAACCTTCGTAAAGAGAATTTAAACATTATATTCATATGACAATTCAATAATTGTTATTACGAATTTAAAGATCCGCTGTTTCACTCGAAAGATAATACTACACTCATTTCTCGTTTTCTTGTTGACTCATTAGGTCAGTTTAGTGCTTTTCAAAGTTTGCTTCCGGTATTGAAGAGACATGATGCTAACTGATTAACATGGTTGGCAAGTCTTTGCTTGTGCCTCTTTGCAGCCATAGTTCTTTCAGCTATAGTACTTATACGTAGATCGCGGTGAATATCTCTGTCGCGACAATACCATGGTGCATTGATAATGTCTCTAAGCACTTTGTTTTGGAAAGTTTGGATAATTTTAAGATTCGTTTTTAAATTGCATCCCCGTAATTGAACGCTATAAATCTAAATAGGCTTGAGAATTTGCTTGTATAAAGGAGTTCATTATGAACTGATAGATTAGAGTTTCTACCAATTATCCATTTTATTTTGGAGCGGACTTTATTAAGTTGTTTCCTTTTAATTTTTATATGTTTCTTCCAACGAAGCCTGGCATCGAGTGTCATATCGAGGTACTTCGTAGTATTAGAGAACGGAATTACTTGCTAGTTTATGGTAATTGATATAGAAGGTTCCTTTTTTAGGGTAAAATTAATATATTGAGACTTATTTCCATTTAATTTTATGCGCCATTTTACAGTCTAATCTTCTATCTGGTTTATAGCACGTTGGAGTTTGGAAGACTTATTTTCATTTAATTTTATGCGCCATTTTACAGTCCTATCTACTATCTGGTTTATAGCACGTTGGAGTTTGGAAGTCGTTATAGTTGTATTTGCGCCAGTAATCAATATCGCTGTGTCGTCGGCAAAAGTAGCCACTTGCACTTCAGAATTTTTAGGAATATCAGTGGTATACAATAGATAGGTCCTAAAACACTACCCTGAGGGACATCTGCTGAAATTTTTCGGAAGCTGGAGTAAGCATCTTCTTTGCGCACTCTGAAGCTTCGACCTATATGATTTGGAGAGCATTCTTCTCAGTTTTAGCTCTAGACCCTCATGTCAGACTTCTTGTCGAATGTCTGTTTGGTGGTTCAGCGCTAGTGTTTTCTACTACAGCTTCATGAGATTTGGTCAATTTATTACGGCGGATATCTACTGTAACCATTATTATGCCTACTGTAATCATTAACCAATTAGACGAAATGATGAGGAAGCTTGGGATTTAGTAACTGAGATTGGAGAATAAGGAGAGGCCAATTCTTATGCAGGACAATGCTGGACTACATGTCGCACGAACAACGTTGCTCAAACTACAGGAGAACTTGTGAATTCTCTGTCACTCACCATATTCCCCAGACCTTGCACTAACTGACTATCATTTTTTCCAGGCATTGGACCATTTTTTGCAAGGAAAAATATTTAATTCCCAACAAGCTGTAGAAAACACCTTTCGCGATTTTATCACCACTCGCTCCACAGGCTTTTTCGCTGCCGGCATTAACAAGTTACCGTTAAGATGGCAAAACTGTATCGATAGTTTAGGCGCATACTTTGATTAATTATACTGCTTCTTGCTTGAGATATAATAAACCAAACTTTCAGTCCGAAATTGGACATTTTATACTTAATGACCTAATATTTTCCATTGTTTAGGGAAATATTTTAAACACATAGATGCAATGAACAAATGGATCCTTTTCAATATTCTTTTATATGGCAGTTCTTTTAACATACGAACCAAGATAAGGTCGAAGCCAGGGGCTTTCTTGGATTTAAATAGTTTATCTTTTTATGTATCTCCTTAGGAGAGATAATTTTTATAGAAATATCTTCTCCACACTCCTCGTTCTCATCGTCAGGTCGAAGTAAATTTGTAGGGGATGTTACATAAGGACAAAATACGTTTTTTAAATGATCGGCATAGAGACCAGCCTTTTCTTGGTTGCTTCTGGCCCATAAGCCATCAGGTTTTCTGATTGGAGGAACATCGATAATTGATTTCCTATGCTTTTTGCCGCTTCTCAGAGTGAGTAGTTGGTATCCTTCGTAGCAAAAAGTCCTTAGAAATATCTGGCAATACTTTGATTTTTAATTTCATAAAGACGTCATTTTAGTTTTTGATTTATATTATTAGAGATCGATTTGTATCCAGGATCTTGTGACTTCAGCTATTTTTTGCGCGTTTTCATTTTTTTAAATCATTTCTTTTGCTTCAATTGAATAATTTATTGAGAACACAGTTTTTTTATATTGAGAGTACAAATTATTCCGGTCCGTTTTCAAAAGATGGCTCTGGCTGTTATGAATGTTTCATAGTGTGACAGCTAATTTCGGTTGTTTCAGAGAGGTTAGACATCTGTCAATAATATTCAGTTTATATCGTTTTGAGTTTCATACAAAACCCCTGTTTTTTACTGTGTTGAATATGTCAAATTTTGTGTTAACTAAGCAGCACTTGCGGGAGGTTTTAGTTTTCCGTTTTAATTGGAAAAAAGTGCAGCTGAAGCGCATCGAATGCTTGTAGAAGTTTATGGTGACAATGCTCCAACTGATAAATCATGTAGGGAATGGTTTCGACGTTTCAAGAAGGGTGATTTCAGCGTTGAAGACAAGCCTCGTTTTGGATAGCCAAAAAAATGCGAAGACAAAAAATTGGAGGCATTACTCGATGAAGATACGAGTCAAACGCAAGAGGAGCTTGCAGAATCATTGGGAGTTATGCAACAAGCAGTTTCCGTACGATTGAAATCCATGGGAATGATTCACAAGCAAGGCAATTGAATGCCTTATGATAGCCGAGCATGATAACGCTCGGCCTCATATCGCCAAAGTCGTAAAAATTATTTGGAAACGCTCAAGTGGGATATTTTACTGCACCTGCCGTATTCGCCGGACATTGCTCCTTCTGATTACTGGTTGTTCCGACGGATGCAG